ACCGCTCGCGCTTGCACCGCTCGATCAGGCGCCAGAGATAGGCCGCCCGCAGGTCGCCGACGCTGGTGGTGAGCTCGCGCAGTGCTTGGGACTTCAACGTGACAGTGCCCACCATCCGCTCGTCGTCGACGACATGCTTGCGCCACCAGCGCCCCATGGCCCGCGCGGACTCCGCGTCGAGAGCCTGCTGCTGGTCGTGATCGTGAGCGGCCGAGCGGTCTGTGCGGTGCGGTTCGGCGGCGCCACCCGCCCCATTCAACGATGAGTCTGAGTCCCTCTTGCCGGAGATCCACGAGCGCCATGCGACCGAGCTCCACTCCGTACACACCGGCAACAGCGCGCAAGACATGATCTGCGCCAGCAACCAGACGGTGAGAGTTAATCGGCCGTGTGTGTGCGGTGGTGTGCAATGTGTCGTGTGTCGTGTGTCGTGTCGTGTCGTGTCGTGTCGTGTCGTGTCGTGTCGTGTCGTGTCGTGTCGTGTCGTGTCGTGTCGCGAGGGCGTGCCTTGCAACAGCGGCGCATCAGTCGGACATTGCACAGACGCCAGGTCTGGTCCTTATTTGGGGAGGTCCGGAGCCTGTCCATGTATCTGGACACGGCCGGCTAATGAGTTCAATATTGCGCTGCACGAGTGGAAGGAGAAGAAGAGAACAGGGTGACTGTGTGAGTGCTCTGTACCGCTGTAGAGACCCTTGCATTTGCTTGAACACGATCGTGAGAGCGAGCCGCAGATCGCTGGCATGGAGGGCACGGGCGACCGACAAGAAGTGTGCGTTGAGCTCGCCCCCGAAACTGCGGTCAATTGCGGCCTGCCGGTGTCGTGTGTGTCGTGTGTGTCGTGTGTGTCGTGTGTGTCGTGTGTGTCGTGTGTGTCGTGTGTGTCGTGTGTCGTGTGGGCCACATTCCGTGCGCAAGGGACAGGGGTGAATTCACATACCGGATCGATAGTGATCCCTTCAGGGAGGGCGTTCAGGCATCCTGGAGCGTTGAGGTGCCGCATGATGTACACGACGAGCTCCAGGGGCAGGCGCGCGAACGCCGATTCTGGCTCGCGCAGGTGAGCCCACAGCATCAGTGTTCGCTCCCTCTGCACGCATGCTACCATGTTAACACGTGTGTATGTGTGCGTGTGCGGTGTGTGCGGTATGCGTACACTGAAATTGCCTCGCATGAGGTTGCGGTGCTGGTGGTAGGCCTGTATTGTTGTGCGCAGAACACGGAGTGAGCCATTGAGAGTGAGCCCTCCGCAGCCATGTTGGTGGTCGGTGCCTGTATGACTGCAGAGGTCTCGCTGAGACACCGCATCGCCTTGTCCCACTCTTCGCTTTCTCGGCCTGTCTCCCACCGTCCGCCCATCGCCTGCACGAGACGAGACACCGTGAGGCCTCGAGCCGCGAGTGCGGGCGTGGGCGGTGGTGGATCCACCCTGAGAAGGTTGCGAGCGGTGTGTTGTGTGTATGTGTGTGTGTGTGTGGTGTGTGGTGTGTGTGAGCTCGACATGCGATCACACAGCCACGAAGCTTCCCTAGATGTATCGTACCACCAGACACTCCCGTAGTAATCCCATCCGCGGGGAACGCACTGCTGTCGCTGCGCCACGCGAATGTTCTGCTCACATCACCAGCAATATGTAGACATGTGGTTTTATCAGACGATCGGCCAATCCGAATTGAACTTAACGAACATCGCGCTTACTTACCCGCGGGCACATGTCCGGACCCCACACGGCCATGTGGATGTAAAGGGAAACCAGCGCCGATTGGATGCCGTGGCCCGAGCCGGGCGCCACTAGCACGTGCATGGGGTAACTTGGTTGGGTTGTCAGGCTTTGGTGGTGCGGTGGTGAGGTGGTGCGATGGGATTGAGTGACGCACCACAGGCGAAACTGGTGGCGGGCGCGGTCGAGAATGGCAGCACGGTCCACTTCTTCTGCCACAACGGCTGCTGACCATGTCGCGGTGCGGCCCTTGGGCTCGAACACTCGGTCCCAGTCCTCGTCGCTCATGTCGCCGCACTCTGAACATTGAGCGCATGTCTGTCAGCTGTGTGTCGTGTCGTGTGTGCACTCAGTGGCCAGCATGTGCGTACCTTTCACGATGGGTGCCACAGCGAAGTAGGCGTGCAGGAGGGCCTGCTCGCACGGCGGCGTGACCACCATGCGGTCGTCCCACGGCAGACGTGTGCCCTGGCCTTCGTAGGAGCCCACGTACCACCGCTTCTTTCTCCTGACCTTTGACAGGAGGTTGTCCCACTCGAATTGGCGAAGAACAGGGAGTTAGATGCGTGAGTGTCGTGTGTCGTGTCGTGTGTCGTGTGTCGTGTGTCGTGTGTCGTGTGTGTCATGTGTGTCATGTGTCATGTGTGTCATGTGTGTCATTTACCTGAAGGCAGCCCTGCCTTCTCATTGACTCGACCAAGCCCAGAACCTGGGTCTTCCATTCAGTGCCGGTTTCATCAACAGTGGCAAAATCGAGGAAGTAGCTGTCCATCGACGCCACAATGCACCGCTCCTCTGTACAATCAGCAGTTTGCCCCAACGATATATAGTGTGCGTGCACGTGTGGGTGTGCAGTGGGGCGTGTTAGACATTGGCCACACAGGGTTTTTGGAGGGTTTTTGTTGACCCGTGTACCGTTGGTGTTGGTGGTTTCTATGCGGTTTTGTGCCTGGCTATAGGGGAAGGTATCTGGGCTGGCGAGTACTTGCGCCACGAGCGCCTTGCGTGCCCCTTCGGGCAGGGGCTTACCCTTGCCCTGCACCTCCATCGTGTGGTACGCAGTATAGTGCTGTGTGTGGGTGTGGAGTGAGCGGGAGGAGGCGCGCGTGTGGGTGCGAGGTGGTGAGTTCGTTACCGAAACCGTGACAATCGGCACAGAGGCCTCTTGCTGCCCAATAATGGGGCACCGCACTGAGAGGCCGACCAGGTCCTGCCCTTTGAGCTCCGCAAGCTTGACCAGCTTCGTGTTAGTTGTAGTGTGATGTGGTGTGGTCGTCGTGTCGGTACTGTTGCTGGCCGTGACGGTCGCGAAGACGAAGCCTTGATGCGCCATGTGCAGCGCACAAGGCTTGGAGCAGATGACCACCCACCGGTCGCCATCGTGTTCGTCCGCGCGTTGATGGCGATGGTGCAGACGTCGGCCCAGCACGAGGTAGGCGCCCAGGTCCGACTCCTGGTTGATGGCGCAGCCCGTTTGCCGGAAGACCAGCTCCACGAGGTGCTTGTGGCACAGACTCACCACGTAGATCTTGGTGTGGCGGTCGAGCAAGGCTCGCAGTCGTGATGATGACGATGATGGAAGAGGGTGGGTGCCACCTTCCTCAAGAAGCAGGAGCTCCTGCCTGATCGCAATGTGGGTGGAAACCCAAGGTATTCCCTCCTTGAACCTTGTAGCGGGACCCCCCACGAAGCCTCTGAGCGAGAGCGAAAGGTTGGTATGAGAACAATGCACCGTGTTTCATGTGTGTTGTGCCAGTCATGCCGTGTGTGTGTCGTGTGTGTCGTGTCGTGTCGTGTGTAGTTCGTCGTGCTGTTGGGCTGTACCTCTCGTAGATGGGGACGATCTTGCCCCGGCCGACATGATAGACCATTGGGCGTTGGCACCGCCCAACTCGCCCTTGCTCGTGGAGCAACCGCATCTTGGCGAGGTAGGGAGATGATAAGGGCATCATCAGCTACAACAGTTACGAAGCTCTTCATGTGACCAGGAGTCGGGTGAGCTCATCTGACACGAACCTGCCAGCGCACGAAGGAACAGTAGAGGGGATCTGAGTTGGTCTTGAAGGTGCGATCCCACTGGACAGTACAACCCAGCGACTTGGCCGCTTCCTAGGGGAATGCGAGGCTCAGAGGCATCAGAGCCATGAAGAAGGGAACACTGCCGAGAATAAAATGGCACCACCTTGAGCCGGGCGCAGAAGTGGTCGTGCATGGCAGGTATACTGTCCCACGACTCGACCGGTTTCCAACCATTTTCTTGCTCTCTCTTGATGTGCTCCACCTTCCACTGTTGGCCACGTCACCAATTAAAACCCGGAGGCAAAAAACGAAAACGAAAGCGAAACCTGTCCGGAGGGCAGGGTACGAAAGCTTTCAGCCCGGAGCAGGGCAGGCCCATGGCCAAAAGGACTGGCCTGCCGAACAGAAGCTGCTGGGCGCGTGCAGCCATATCAGCCAGGGACAGCGCCAACTGGTCATCGGACCGCTCGCACGAAGCCTCCCCCAGGACCACCCCACAAAGAGACGTGCCACGACGCTTGGGCCAAGGGTCAGTTGAGTCCTCTGAACTTTGCGGGCTCTTCACTCCTGCGCTGTCCATCTGCAAACACAAGAAAAAACGGCGGTTTCACTTCAAATTTATTGAAAAGACGGAAGGACAACCAGGTGGCAAGAAAAGAAAAGAAAACATAGGGAAAAGAGGAGCACGACAGGGTCGGCGTACATCTGCTGCGCCGTAGAGCCAGCGGCGATGCTGACCAGAGTCGCGACACACGAAAGCCAGACTAGCCCACGGGCAGGGGCGGCAGAGCAGGGTGAACTGCACAAAGACCGGCACGGCCGGGTCCGTCTGCGTAGCGGAGCCAGTGTCCAGCCCAAAGAAGCCCTTGACGACGGCATTGCCCTGGCCGGGGAGCGTGGGATTTGTCACGCGATAGCACAGGGTGTTGACGCCGGTGTTTACGCCCGGCGTCGAGCGGGTGATGGTGGGCACGAATCCGCCCGACTGCAACCCATCGCAGCGTTGGTCACGCCCCGCAGCCCGTAAACGCCTTGCGCCCTGCGGCCCTGGCGTGCCGCTTATCGCGCTTTGCGATCCCTGCGGGCGTTGCTCCCCCTCTGAGGGCCCTTGCGGTCCGGCGACACCCTGGCTGGGGTGGCTCGCAGAAGGCAGGATGATGCCCAGCTGACTCAGCATCTGCGCATAGTTAGAATGCCCCGTTCGACATTTTGGCAGAAAACACGGGAAAGTACAGAGAAGGAACAATAGCTGTTGGTTGCTTTAGTGAGGTGGAGATACTGGGCTAAGGAGATAAAAATATAAAAATGGCCAACCAGGAGTTGAGGTTGACCAGAAGGAGATAGAGATGCATATGATATGGCTATATCTTGTCACCAGGGGGGGGAAGTCAGAAGTTCACGTGCACCTCACCTGGGCAGATAGCGACATGTGTTCTGCGTTCTGGAAGTGGAACTGAGGTTGCACAAAGCCAAGTGAATATTCCCTGGAGGTCACCCTCTCGCTCCCCGACCGGTCAAGCCTCCGTGTAGACATATTTGGGGAGTGTGGACTCGTTCATTTGTCATTTTATCTTTTACTCCCACGCAGGCGTGCGCCATGGCACTTGTCACACTCGCAGACACACGCACACACCACACCCGCCACCGAAGCAACGACACTCGTACTACAAGCACGCCCAAGGCCAGGTGGACAGCACTGGTGGTCGCAGCAAGCTAGACGTGCATGTGGTGGATCCCGTGCGTGCGCA